AAACACTAAAATATACTGCTTCTCAGTACTTCTATGCTGTTTCAAAGATTATAAAGCTGAACTTTCATGAATTTGCAGAAAATTACACATTGGTGCATTTTTGAATATTTCACTGAGAGAAAGCTTTTTTGTCTTAGTCTTACTTTTTGACTTCTTTCACTGAGATCAACACTGGAATTGTTCAAAACACTAAAATATACTGCTTCTCAGTACTTCTAAGCTGTTTCAAAGATTAAAGCTGAACTTTCATGAATTTGCAGAAAATTACACATTGGTGCATTTTTGACTTATTTCACTGAGAGAAAGCTTTTTTCGTCTTAGTCTTATTTTTGACTTCTTTCACTGAGATCAACACTGTAATTGTTCAAAACACTAAAATATACTGCTTGTCAGTACTTCTATGCTGTTTCAAAGATTATAAAGCTGAACTTTGATGAATTTGCAGAAAATTACAAATTGGTGCATTTTTGACTTATTTCACTGAGAGAAAGCTTTTTTCGTCTTAGTCTTACTTTTTGACTTCTTTCACTGAGATCAACACTGGAATTGTTCAAAACACTAAAATATACTGCTTCTCAGTACTTCTATGCTGTTTCAAAGATATGAAGCTGAACTTTCATGAATTTGCAGAAAATTACACATTGGTGCATTTTTGACTTATTTCACTGAGAGAAAGCTTTTTTCGTCTTAGTCTTATTTTTGACTTCTTTCACTGAGATCAACACTGAATTGTTCAAAACACTAAAATATACTGCTTCTCAGTACTTCTATGCTGTTTCAAAGATATGAAGCTGAACTTTCATGAATTTGCAGAAAATTACACATTGGTGCATTTTTGACTTATTTCACTGAGAGAAAGCTTTTTTCGTCTTAGTCTTATTTTTGACTTCTTTCACTGAGATCAACACTGTAATTGTTCAAAACACTAAAATATACTGCTTGTCAGTACTTCTATGCTGTTTCAAAGATTATAAAGCTGAACTTTCATGAATTTGCAGAAAATTACACATTGGTGCATTTTTGACTTATTTCACTGAGAGAAAGTTTTTTCGTCTTAGTCTTATTTTTGACTTCTTTCACTGAGATCAACACTGGAATTGTTCAAAACACTAAAATATACTGCTTCCCAGTACTTCTATGCTGTTTCAAAGATTATAAAGCTGAACTTTCATGAATTTGCAGAAAATTACACAGTGGTGCATTTTTGACTTATTTCACTGAGAGAAAGCTTTTTTCGTCTTAGTCTTATTTTTGACTTCTTTCACTGAGATCAACACTGAAATTGTTCAAAACACTAAAATATACTGCTTCTCAGTACTTTATGCTGTTTCAAAGATTATAACGATGAACTTTCATGAATTTGCAGAAAATTACACATTGGTGCATTTTTGACTTATTTCACTGAGAGAAAGCTTTTTTCGTCTTAGTCTTATTTTTGACTTCTTTCACTGAGATCAACATTGGAATTGTTCAAAACACTAAAATATACTGCTTCTCAGTACTTCTATGCTGTTTCAAAGATTATAAAGCTGAACTTTCATGAATTTGCAGAAAATACACATTGGTGCATTTTTGACTTATTTCACTGAGAGAAAGTTTTTTCGTCTTAGTTTATTTTTGATTTCTTTCACTGAGATCAACACTGGAATTGTTCAAAACACTAAAATATACTGCTTCTCAGTACTTCTATGCTGTTTCAAAGATTATGAAGCTGAACTTTCATGAATTTGCAGAAAATTACACAGTGGTGCATTTTTGACTTATTTCACTGAGAGAAAGCTTTTTTCGTCTTAGTCTTATTTTTGACTTCTTTCACTGAGATCAACACTGGAATTGTTCAAAACACTAAAATATACTGCTTCTCAGTACTTCTATGCTGTTTCAAAGATTATAAAGCTGAACTTTCATGAATTTGCAGAAATACACATTGGTGCATTTTTGACTTATTTCACTGAGAGAAAGTTTTTTTGTCTTAGTCTTATTTTGACTTCTTTCACTGAGATCAACACTGAATTGTTCAAAACACTAAAATATACTGTTTCTCAGTACTTCTATGCTGTTTCAAAGATTATAAAGATGAACTTTCAAGATTTGCAGAAAATTACAAATTGGTGCATTTTTGACTTATTTCACTGAGAGAAAGCTTTTTTCGTCTTAGTCTTATTTTTGACTTCTTTCACTGAGATCAACATTGAATTGTTCAAAACACTAAAATATACTGCTTCTCAGTACTTCTATGCTGTTTCAAAGATTATAAAGCTGAACTTTCATGAATTTGCAGAAAATACACATTGGTGCATTTTTGACTTATTTCACTGAGAGAAAGTTTTTTTGTCTTAGTCTTATTTTTGACTTCTTTCACTGAGATCAAATTGGAATTGTTCAAAACACTAAAATATACTGTTTCTCAGTACTTCTATGCTGTTTCAAAGATTATAAAGATGAACTTTCAGATTTGCAGAAAATTACAAATTGGTGCATTTTGACTTATTTCACTGAGAGAAAGCTTTTTTCGTCTTAGTCTTATTTTTGACTTCTTTCACTGAGATCAACATTGGAATTGTTCAAAACACTAAAATATACTGTTTCTCAGTACTTCTAGCTGTTTCAAAGATTATAAAGCTGAACTTTATGAATTTGCAGAAAATAGACAGTGGTGCATTTTTGACTTATTTCACTGAGAGAAAGCTTTTTTCGTCTTAGTCTTATTTTTGACTTCTTTCACTGAGATCAACACTGGAATTGTTCAAAACACTAAAATATACTGCTTCTCAGTACTTCTAAGCTGTTTCAAAGATTATGAAGCTGAACTTTCATGAATTTGCAGAAAATTACACAGTGGTGCATTTTTGACTTATTTCACTGAGAGAAAGTTTTTTCGTCTTAGTCTTATTTTTGACTTCTTTCACTGAGATCAACACTGGAATTGTTCAAAACACTAAAATACTGTTTTCAGTACTTCTATGCTGTTTCAAAGATTATAAAAGCTGAACATTGATAAATTTTGCAGAAAATTACACATTGGTGCATTTTTGACTTCTTTCACTGAGAGAAAGCTTTTTTTCGTCTTAGTCTTATTTTTTGACTTCTTTCACTGAGATCACACTGTAATTGTTCAAAACACTAAAATATACTGCTTCTCAGTACTTCTATGCTGTTTCAAAGATTATAAAGCTGAACTTTGATGAATTTGCAGAAAATTACACAGTGGTGCATTTTTGACTTATTTCACTGAGAGAAAGCTTTTTTCGTCTTAGTCTTATTTTTGACTTCTTTCACTGAGATCAACACTGGAATTGTTCAAAACACTAAAATATACTGCTTCTCAGTACTTCTATGCTGTTTGAAAGATTATAAAGCTGAACTTTGATGAATATGCAGAAAATTACAAATTGGTGCATTTTTGACTTATTTCACTGAGAGAAAGCTTTTTTCGTCTTAGTCTTATTTTTGTCTTCTTTCACTGAGATCAACACTGGAATTGTTCAAAACACTAAAATATACTGCTTGTCAGTACTTCTATGCTGTTTCAAAGATCATAACGATGAACTTTCACGAATTTGCAGAAAATTACACAGTGGTGCATTTTTGACTTATTTCACTGAGAGAAAGCTTTTTTCGTCTTAGTCTTATTTTTGACTTCTTTCAATGATATCAACACTGGATTTGTTCAAAACACTAAAATATACTGCTTCTATGCTGTTTCAAAGATTATAAAGCTGAACTTTGATGAATTTGCAGAAAATTACAGTGGTGCATTTTTGACTTATTTCACTGAGAGAAAGCTTTTTTCGTCTTAGTCTTATTTTTGACTTCGTTCACTGAGATCAACACTGTAATTGTTCAAAACACTAAAATACACTGCTTATTAGTACTTCTATGCTGTTTCAAAGATTATAAAGCTGAACTTTGATGAATTTGCGGAAAATTACAGTGGTGCATTTTTGACTTATTTCACTGAGAGAAAGCTTTTTTCATCTTAGTTTTATTTTTGACTTATTTCACTGAGATCAACACTGGAATTGTTCAAAACACCGTCCGATCCTTCTATGACCGGTGTCGGAGTCTGGTCTGCATTGCTGGCAATAAGCCTGGTATTTTTGAAGTTCACATCGAGCTGCGCGATCAGAGCAAATGCGGTGGATTTAAGATTGAGTCTTACCTTGACAAATTCCACAAATAAATATGGATCTTCACTCTCACAGGATTTTGATATAAATGTTCATATGGGTGAGCCAATATGAGTGATCCGTGCTGAGGTAAACAGTATGCAGAGGCGCCAGCGACCTGATTTGTGTGCACTTCCTCTTCAATGCATTAACTATTATAAACTATAAAAACTATAAATCCATCTTTCTTTCAGGAAGAATTCTGCCCTGCCAGTAAAATGTTCATCACAAAAGAGATGCTTGCGGTCCGACTTATTAAAAATAAATAAATTAAAATATATATATTTTCCTTTGAATAAAAACAAAAACACAACGCTTACCCTGGCGGGTGGGAGGCAGTGGAGGGCACAGAGAGCTTTTAGCTGGGGGAAACCCTGTTTAAATTTTGAATATTTTGACATGTAATTTTTTAGCACTTAAACTATGTTCCATCATTCTGAAAAATCCAAGAAATGGATTGCAATGGAGTCTCTGAACTTGACTTCAGTGTTTGAGCTACTAAATTTTTAGTAGCTCAAACACTAAAAAATAACTTTTTTAGTGAGAATGGCTCTATGTATGTGTAGAGGTGACTTGTTAATAAAACGTGTTGGAAAGGCTGTGGCAGAATTACTTGGTCTATTTTGTCATCTACATAGGTATTTAATGTAAGTCAACACAAAGCCAGAAACAGAGTACAGATGAACAGCCTGGACCTGCAACTGATATTCAGTTTTCTATTTTATAAAGCCGACAGAATTTTGCCAATCACATAAACTAACTGAACTGTGATTTAAATCATTTGAAATAATCCTAAAAATGTGTAACATTCTGTAACACAGAAAGAATGGATTAACTGTAAAAATAAATCATTTTTATTCTTGGACAACTGAGGTGATTAGGGATCACTGTTTTACTTAAACAGGATGTTTGAAAAATAAAAATGTATTAGGTTAAATATCAAGAAATATAAGGTTAAAATAAAGAAAAAGAGCAAACAGTTGCAAAAAACAGAGGGGAAAGAATTTCTTGAAGAAGTTCCTTCTGAGTTCCTTAGTTAAGTAGGATGGATAGAACAGTCATTCAAATAAATTTTACATAAATTATTGTAATTCTGACCATCATTTCATACCAATAATATATATTAGCAATGGGAGCTTTTCTCAGCTGACCACCTGTTTTCCACCTGCTGGAGGAAAACCAAACAGTAACCCTGCAGAAACATCAAACACTTTTCAAAGCTTCCAGACTCCATGATCTCACAGTACTTCAGTTATGAAAATTAAACGGCTTCTTGGAAAATTGATGAGTAGTCCATGTCCAAATGAGGTGTCTTCATGATGTTCTGCTCCAGTCAGCAGAAGATGAGCGTCTTCCCTCATTTACACTATTATAAAACCCTGAAAAGTCGGGAGTCTCCTGGAAATTGTGCTTTGCTTCCTGAGGGTTATAGCAGTCAGATCATAAGGTCTTCTCGCTTCAGGAACCGCATAGCATCAGTGTGACCTTCCTCACATATGGCATACATGGTGCTGAGGGACGGAGGGAACAAAGCCTGGTTCAGACGTTTAATGTTGTCAATGGAAAACTGTGGAAAGCAAGCAAGAGATTGCGTTTAGGGTGCTTTCAAACCTGACAGACTTAGGGTTAGGGTTAAATTTTATATATATATATATATATATATATATATATATATATATATATATATATATATATATATATATATATATATATATATATATATATATATATACACTCCTGATCAAAATCTTAAGACCAGTCAAAAAATTGCAAGAATTTGCATTTAGAACTATTGAATCTTAAGAAGGTTCTAAGTAGAGCTTCACAATGTTAAAAGAAGAAATCAGCGTAAAAGACAAAACTTTTGAGCGGGGAATTAATTGAAAACTGCATTTATTCTAAAACATGATTTTTTCCACCTGATCAAAAGTTTAAGACCATATCTCAAAAAACCCCGAAAACCCCCCAAAAGAGAAATCTTTTGGGGGGTCAAAAAAAAGGACTCAGTAATGAGTAGCTCCACCATTCTTGTTGATGACTTCAAACAATCGTTTAGGCATGCTTGATGCCAGTGTTTCCAGGAGACTAGTGGGAACGTTGCTCCAAGTGTTGAAGATGGCTTCACGAAGGGCATCCACTGTCTGGAACTGATGTCCATTTTTGTAAACTTCCCTTGCCATCCATCCCCAAATGTTCTCAATTGGGTTTAGATCCGGGGAACATGCAGGATGGTCCAAAAGAGTGATGCTATTCTCTTGGAAGAACTCCTTTGTCAGGCGGGCATTGTGAACTGCAGCATTGTCCTGTTGAAAAGGGTTAGGGTTATATATATATATATATATATATATATATATATATATATATATATATATATATATATATATATATATATATATATATATATATACACATATATATATATATATATATATATATATATATATATATATATATATATATATATATATATATATATATATACATATATATATATATATATATATATATATATATATATATATATATATATATATATGCTGACTGGATAACTCAATACATAAGGCATCAGTATATCACCCGAGAGGGCGGGGTTCGAATCCAGTCTGGGTCCTTAGGCAAGACCCTTCAAGCTACTGCCTACCTCATACCATGAGAGATACTAAGTTGCGTAACATGCCGGCTCAGACGTCACCCGGCCAAACAAGGTCTGCGTCAGGTGTTGGGGAACCAGAGCACCTTGATGACAAATGGGCTACTGGAACAAGACGGAAATGGGCGAGAGATGAAAATGTGGATCTGTTGGAATGCTACTACTCAAGTAACCCTAGTGAGAGAGGTTACATGCAAAGACTGGGGAAGGAATGGTCACTTCGACATCCCCAGTCAACACTAAACGCCAAACAACTGGTAGCTCAGTGTTCCAACATCCGCAAACGGCAACTGCTATCACAACTTGAGATTGACGAGATACAACACAAATGCTACGGCAAAAAGGAAGAACCCGGATGTGGGGTCTGTGGGGACTTAACTACAAGTCCCCACCCAGTGAGGGGATACACGGCCCCAATGAGCGAAACAGAGCTGAACGAGACAGCTGCTGACCTGAGAGAGAGAATCATGACCCGAATGACAACCAGACCTCCTCGGCGCCAATTACAACGGCTGAGTGAAGTACCATCAGAAAGTCTCATAGAGAATGTGAATGCAGCATTGAGAACGATCCCTACCAACACCATAACAGAAACCAAAGAGCTGATCTACAACTCAGCATCAGTGATCCTTGAGAGACTTGGCTATAAGAGCAACCATGAGACCCAATACCCACCATGAAAAAGACGGTTAGAGGCTAAAATCAAGGTAACAAGGAGGGAAGTGAGCCAACTGTCAGAGCTCCACAAGGGTACAATGAAAAGACCAGTACCCAGAAAGTACAGTCAGATGCCCATACCTGAAGCACTTGAAACTGCCAAACAGAGGCTCCAAGCCTTGGCCAGCCGCCTAAAGAGATACACAAGGAGAATGAATCCAGAAGGATTAACCGGCTCTTCTCCACTCAACCAGCTAAGGTGTACTCTCAATGGCAGGGTAATAACAACAGAGCAGACCCACCCAGGCTGGAGACTGAACAATACTGGAAAGGCATATGGGAAAGGGAGGCGTCCCACAACAGCAATGCACAGTGGCTGATCTCTCTACGAGAGGACCACAGCAACCTCCCTGAGCAAGCCCCGGTAACCATCACTGTGACAGATGTTCAAGAAAGAGTCTCAGGTATGAAAAACTGGACAGCACCAGGCCTGACATGATCCATGCCTACTGGCTAAAGAAACTCACTGCTCTCCATGAGCGACTGGCAGGCCAAATGAACCAGCTGCTGCAAAGTGGACTCACCCTGAATGGTTAACTGAAGGGCGAACAATCCTAATCCAGAAGGATCCATCAAAGGGTCCAGTCCCACCCAACTACTGACCAATAACCTGCCTCTCCACAACCTGGAAGCTCATGTCAGGCATCATAGCGGCCAAGATAAGCAAACACATGGATAAACACATGAGCATGGCACAGAAAGGTATCGGTGTAAACAGCAGAGGAGCCAAACACCAACTCCTCGTAGACCGCACAGTTGCCAGAGACTGCAAAACCCGACACACCAACCTGTGCATGGCTTGGATTGATTACAAGAAAGCCTATGACTCAATGCCGCATACTTGGATCATTGAATGCCTAGAGATGTATAACATCAACAGGATCTGAGAGCCTTCATTGCAAACTCGATGAGGCTGTGGAAAACCACCCTTGAAGCCAACTGCAAACCACTTGCACAAGTGTCCATCAAATGTGGCATATACCAAGGAGATGCTCTGTCCCCGCTACTGTTCTGCATAGGCCTGAACCCCCTCAGCCAAGTTATCAACAAGACTGGCTACGGATACCGACTCAAAAATGGGGCCAACATAAGTCACCTCCTCTACATGGATGACATCAAGCTGTACGCCAAGAGTGAGCGAGACATCGACTCACTGATCCACACCACCAGGATCTACAGCACTGACATGGGATGTCATTCGGACTAGAGAAGTGTGGTCGGCTGATCACAAAGAGGGGGAAGGTGATCCGCACAGAAGGAGTTTCACTCCCACAAGGAACAATAGCAGACATAGAGGACAGTTACAAGTACCTAGGTATACCACAAGCAAATGGCAACCTCGATGAGGCCACAAGGAAAGGAGCCACAGCTAAATACCTCCAACGAATAAGGCAAGTCCTGAGAAGCCAGCTCAATGGCAAGAACAAAATCCGTGCGATAAACAGCTATGCCCTGCCAGTAATCAGATACCCTGCTGGAATAATTAGCTGGCCAAAGGAGGAGATAAAAGCCACAGATATTAAGACTAGAAAGCTACTAACCATGCATGGAGGGTTCCATCCCAAATCCAGCACCCTGAGACTGTACATATATGAGACTGTATATATATATATATATATATATATATATATATATATATATATATATATATATATATATATATATATATATATATATATATATATATATATATATATATATATATATTTCCTTTGAATAAAAACAAAAACACAACGCTTACTCTGGCGGGTAAGTCATATGAAAAAGTTTGGGCACTCCCATTAATCTTAATTATTTTTATTTCTAAATATTTGGGTGTTTGCAACAGCTATCTCAGTTTGATATATCTAATAACTGATGTACACAGTGATATTTCAGAATTGAAATTAGGTTTATTGTACTAACAGAAAATGGGCAATAATGCATAAAAACAAAATTTGACAGGTGTAAAAATTTGGGTACCCTTATTTAATTGATTTGAATACTCCTAACTACTTTTCATTGACTTACTGAAACACAAAATTGGTTTGGTAACCTAATTAAGCTTTGAACTTCATAGCCAGCTGTATCCAATCATGAGAAAAGGTATTTAAGGTGGTCGATTGAAAATTGTTCTCCAACCTGGATCTCTTATGAAGAGTGGCATCATGGGCACATCATAACAACTCTCAAAAGATCCGAAAACAAAGATTGTTCAACATAGTTGTTTAGGGCAAGGATACAAAAAGTTATCTCAGAGATTTAAACTGTCAGTTTCCACTGTGAGGAACATATTAAGGAAATGGAACACTACAGGGACAGTACATGTTAAACCCAGTAGTGGCAGGCCAAGAAAAATATCAGAGAGGCAGAGAAGAAGAATGGTGAGAACTGTGAAGGACAACCCACAGACCACCTCCAAACCATGTTCCCTCTAAGCTGCACGCCTGCGCAATCGCGCACTGCTCACATATTCTCAGCGCACAAGAAAATCTATGTAGCGCATAAAATAAAGTCCAACGTAAAGTGGACATTGAGCTCAGACATCAGTTTTGACTATGGACCAATAAATTTTTTTTTCTGTACTACTTTGTGATCGAACTCAGTGAGTGACAGGAATCCAGCCAATGATACGATACGGTTCACTTTCGCTACGCAGCCAATCAGCGCTGATTGGCTGCGTGTACGTGGGTTACGTACCTTGGTCATATGCGCCGTGCAAGTGAGAATAGTGCGGCAGAGTTAAGAAACGTGAAAGCCAACACCTTATCATGTCTACATGGGACATCCACTCACCAAGCCAAAGTAAAAAAAAGGAAGGAGGCAGCTCGTGTATCCCTACATGGGATGTACACACCAGCAAATAACCGAAGTTGCTGATATCAGTAAGTCTTACCAATGGCTGGAAAAAGCTGGACGCAAGGACAGCACAGAGTCCCTCATCCTGGCCACCGAGGAACAGGCCCTAAACACCAGAGCAATAGAGGCCCAGATCTACCACACCAGACAAGACCCAAGGTGTAGGTTGTGCAAGGAGGCCCCTGAGACAGTCCAGCACATAACAGCAGGGTGCAAGATACTGGCAGGGAAAGCGTACATGGAATGACATAACCAAGTGGCAGGCATAGTGTACAGAAACATCTGTGCAGAATATGGACTGGAAACCCCGAGATCAAAGTGGGAAACAATCCCAAAGCTGGTGGAGAATGCCAGAGCTAAGATCCTGTGGGACTTCCAGATCCAGACAGACAAAATGGTAAAGGCGAACCAACCAGACATTGTCATAGTGGATAAACAACAGAGGAAAGCCGTTGTAGTAGATGTAGCAATACCAAGTGACTGCAACATCAGAAAAAAGGAGTACGAGAAACTGGAGAAATACCAGGGCCTCAGGGAGGAACTGGAGAGGGGCTGGAAGGTGAAGACCACAGTGGTGCCTGTGGTCATCGGGGCCCTCTGGGCAGTCACCCCCAAACTGGAGGAATGGCTACAACAGATTCCAGGAACAACATCAGACATCTCAGTCCAGAAATGTGCCGTCCTAGGCACAGCCAAGATACTGCAGGACCCTCAAGCTCCCAGGCCTCTGGTAGATGACCCGAGCTCAGAGGATAATAATAAGAACCACCCGTGGTGGGTTAGAAAGTATTAGATATATATATATATATATATATATATATATATATATATATATATATATATATATATATATATATATATATATATATATATATATATATATATATATATATATATATATATATATATATATATATATTATATATATATATATATATATATATATATATATGTATGTATATCCTGCTGGAATAATTAGCTGGCCAAAGGAGGAGATAAAAGCCACAGATATTAAGACTAGAAAGCTACTAACCATGCATGGAGGGTTCCATCCCAAATCCAGCACCCTGAGACTGTACACGAGCCGCAAGGAAGGAGGCAGAGGTCTAGTGAGTGTGAGAACCACTGTCCAGGACGAAACAACTAAGATCCATAAATACATCAGGGACAAAGCCTCAACAGACAAAGCCTCAACAGTGAATGTCTCAGACAACAGGGAACGGAGGTTGAGGTGCCAGAGATACCATCATGGGAGGACAGGCCCCTACATGGGATGTACCACCAGCAAATAACCCAAGTGGCTGATATCAGTAAATCCTATCAATGGCTGGAAAAAGCTGGACTCAAGGACAGCACAGAGGCCCTCATCCTGGCCGCCCAGGAACAGGCCCTAAACACCAGAGCAATAGAGGCCCAGATCTACCACACCAGACAAGACCCAAGGTGTAGGTTGTGCAAGGAGGCCCGTGAGACAGTCCAGCACATCACAGCAGCCACCTGATTGACCCTCCCACTATATGATTGCTCACCTGGGCTCTCCGGACGTTAATGCCAAACTAACAACACCTAAGTGCTGAAGAACTGTTAAGATAACCTTAAAAAAAAATCTAAGACATGAATGTTGTGATAGTTTGGCAGGGAAAGCGTACATGGAACGACATAACCAAGTGGCAGGCATAGTGTACAGAAACATCTGTGCAGAATATGGACTGGAAACCCTGAGATCAAAGTGGGAAACACCCCCAAAGGTGGTGGAGAACGCCAGAGCTAAGATCCTGTGGGACTTCCAGATCCAAACAGACAAAATGGTAATGGCGAACCAACCAGACATTGTCGTAGTGGATAAACAACAGAGGAAAGCTGTTGTGGTAGATGTAGCAATACCAAGTGATTGCAACATCAGGAAAAAGGAGCATGAGAAACTGGAGAAATACCAGGGCCTCAGGGAAGAACTGGAGAGGGCCTGGAAGGTGAAGACCACAGTGGTCATCAGGGCCCTCGGGGCAGTAACCCCCAAACTGGAGCAGTGGCTACAACAGATCCCAGGAACAACATCACACATCTCAATCCAGAAATGTGCAGTCCTTGGCACAGCCAAGATACTGCACAGGACCCTCAAGCTCCCAGGCCTCTGGTAGAGGACCCAAGCTCAGAGGATAAGAACCACCCGCGGTGGGTGAGAAGGGAATTTTTCTATATATAATGACATTTCCAGTCATTCACTGCCTCCATGCATTGCTATGTGCAGGCCCCAATTACGGGAAAATCATTTTGAGAAACTTTTTTTAAAGAAAAAGATGTGAATAAGGTCCTAATATTAGTCGAATAAAGTTTCGCAAGTCAGTCCACTGTTCTTCTTATGCATTGCTATGGGCAGGCCCCAATTAAGATAAAAAAATAAACCTTTGTCAAGCAATATGTTTTACGCAAACTCTTCAATTCTTAACATTGAAAGCATTCAATTTGAATCAGGAGTGTTCTGACCACAGGTATGCAATTTTATCTCAGGCAAGATTTTTTTTAAAATTTGTATTATAAGTGAAACAACTTCTTTCATCTCAGTTGTGCACCAGCAGCCTAACACCTTCTGTTGCACAACATTAGTTGAAACAGAAAGGCATCCCACATCAGTGTTTGATTAGCATTTTTTCATCACTGCAAAGAAATAATGACATTTCCAAACTCTTTAAGCCAAATATAAATATTTTAATGTCATTTACTCACCATAATTTTCATGTTAACAAGGCTGAGCTGAGTGTTGAAGCGCCCCCTGTGGACAGGACACACATCCTGCAGTCCAGCAAAGGGAGACACAGTGATGGTTCTCCCCACAGGCAGGATGGGCAGGCTGTCCGTAAACCCCCCATCAATCCATTTCTAATAAAAGTCAGTGAGTGTCTCAGAATAAAAACCAGTGCTAGATTTTAGACAGTATTAGAGGCAGAAACGGAGCTACCTGTCCATTGAACTCCACCGGTCTGAGCCCGGCATAGAGAGGCACAAAGCTGCTGGCAAGCAGAGTCTGTAGATATTAAACACAAGACAGCAAACGATTTTTCTGTACCTAAACAGACAATGAGCTATGGAAGTGTGTGTGTGTGTGTGTGTGCGTTTGGTGGACTCTGACCATTATGAGCTCATCCCTGGAGGGAAACCTGGAAACGATGTGGTTCTTCCCACTCCTACAGTGAGTTATAGAGATATAAAGTCGGTTGCTGGCCAGATTGTGAGCTTCACTTGGCAGAATCTCCTCTAGTGCTTCCCTGCAGATGATTCACACACATTGGTCACAAGCTATCACATTTATCTGCACCTTCTGGGTTTTGACTTGAGGTCTCCCATTTGAACAAGGCATCCTCTTTCATGCCATACTTGTTTTAGATTGTCATTAGAGAGGCACAGATCCAGTATTAATATCTGTATTGGAGCCGATATTGAAAAAATTCAATATTGTGAAAATGTGGTTGATTCAAGACGGCAGGTATATTCAGTTTAATTCTATGCTCCATTATTTTTTAAAAAATTACATTTTAATCTATACTGCTCAAAAAAATAAAGGGAACACTCAAACAACATGATATAACTCCAAGTAAATCAAGCTTCTGTGAAATGAAATCACTTAGAAAGCAACACTGATTGACAATCAATATCACCTGCTGTTGTGCAAATGGAATAGATAACAGGTGGAAATTATTTTCATATTTATTTCATTCATTCAGATCTAGGATGTGTTATTTGAGTGTTCCCTTTATTTTTTTAAGCAGTGTATTTTGTTTCTACATGTTTGTTAGCTTATGAAGCTATTGGTGTATTTCAGCATACTGTATTGGTGCAGACTTATCAGTACATTTATGTATTTAACAAAGGAAACGTTTAAGTCAATAGTATTTCTTTATTGGATCAGTGTCGGTCCATACTAAACTTCAGATATGAGTCAGAAGCAAAAAAGTGGATTATGTATTTCTAATTTTTATTAAGACTTTGATTGATTGATTCATGTGTGATTTTTGTAACAGGGTAAATAAGATTATGCATAGCTAAACTACAAATCAGTTACTTCAACAATGCAGCTGCCATTTGGCATTTAACTTTAGCATTTACCGTAGAATGAGCATGAAGTTGAATCCTGTGTGATGGCTCCAAACCTCTGTTGTCTCACACTTCAGCAAACTTGTAGGTGAACTTTTTGCAGTGCTGAAGAAAGAAAACAGACGTATCATGTTGAAATTGTCTGACATCAGTCATCCATTTATATCCTCTAACTGCAGCCATCCGACCTCCAGCTTATCTGGAGCTGTGATGAGGACAGCAGCCACCAGCGCTCCACCTGACGCTCCTGCACAGGCCCTCATGGAGCTCAGCAGCTTATCTCCATGATGAAGAAAGGCCTCCACCGCACCCAGGTGGTAGATCCCCATAAAACCACAGGCAGCAAAGGACAGGTTCAGAATGGTCATTGTTATGCCTGCAGAAACAAAACAATATGACAACTTCCAGAAAAACCATTTGCTCTATAAAAGGTGTAAGCCTTCACCTATCATTGCTCTGAAGGAACTGAAAGAACAGTTTTCTGAGATGGCCAGGTGCAAGAAACAGGAAAAGACAAAATTAATCAAACCATAAAGCAAGTTTTTCTACATAGTCACACAAAATACCACTTTTAATGACTGCTCATGTAGTCTCAAAGACATTCAACTCCTTCAGAGCAAGCATCTTTAATACTTATTAGAGAATCCTTAATCCACTCTTTTGGTCAATGCTCTCCAGTCCTATGATATTCTCCAGATTTTATGCTCCAATCAGCATCAGTCTTCAGTCAGAGGGCCCTTCAGATTTACTGCAAGACAGAAAGCTAGTGTATACTTACTGCCCACAGTAACACCATCCACAATAACTCTGAAGATAATTAGATGATAATTAGATGATATTAGTTACAGCAACATTTCATTTCCTTTGAGATAAATAGAATGTTTTTTATTGAATTATTGGCAGAAATGAATGAATTTCTTTAACCTTCCATGCTTAAGTTTGAATCTCTGTGGATCAGATAGATGTTTCCCATAAAACCACAGCAGCAAAGGACAGATTCAGAATGGTCATTGTTATGCAGCATTCAGCATCTATGCACCACAAATTTGGAGCAAACTTTCAGAAAACTCCAAAACAGCTGAGTGTTGAATCTCGACTAAAACCCACCTGTTCAGAATTGTATTTGAAATGTAATCATACTATTTAATGATGGAACTTGACTTAATGTAATGTTTTGATTGTTGATTCTACGTTGCAATTGCACAAAAATCCGAGAGGGACGGCGGAGTCCCTAAGCGAAATTCTGTGCAAAGAGGTGTACGGAGCCTCATGCCGGAAGAAAAATGGCAAATGGCTGAGGGTCATTGCGCGAAACAGAAACCCTGTAAATTCATGGGTGCTCACAATTTTTCACCATGTGAGCTACTTATAAAACAACCAAGTCAAAAAGATCTACCAACCCACGACGACAAAAATGCTAAACATAACTATTTTCAAATTTATTATGTATTCTTTGTATGTACGTTTATGTACCTTGCATTACTGAATAAGCCAATAAAAAATTATTTAAATTTTTTATAATTACCCAAGTTTACTTTGATGACCTGCACTGATTTGAAACAGCCAGGGATGCATAGTCCGGACAGTAGCTGCTGACAGTCAGCCTCAAGCACATTTCCAAATGTGCATCAGTCATGGAGGAACGATATCTGGATTTAATGATCTTCATGTAGGAAAAGGCTGATTCGCATAAATAAGTGGAGCCAAATAATGCAGTCAAGGGTCGCACATTTCCTCATGTTGGGGTATTTTTCCTCTGTGAGTAAGTTCCAGAACTCAGCATCTTCCTGGAAAGGATAGCACATGAATGTAGCAATTGGCTCAAGCAAAGAAAAGTCTTGAAAGCGTTTGTCAAACTCTGACAGACAATTCCTCATCTGCTCCAAGTAGCGTGCACTTTCAAGCTGTTCGTGGGCCTTCCCTTGCATCTCCAGCTTTGACGCCAAGTTCTGAAAATTTGCCAAATCATGGCACTGCAGCTTTGAGGCAAAATGTTGCATCTTTTGTTTGAAAGCATTAACTGAGCTATTCATACTGGTCACTGTTTTGTCTTTTTCTTGCAGCTCAAAGTTAAGCTCATTCAACAAGTTTGTCAGATCAGTTAAAAATGCCAAGTCCACTAGCCATTCACCATCATTTAGTTGCTTGTATTCTCCATGTCCAGATACACGGAAAAACTTCTCCGGACAGAGTTCTCGAATCTTTGGAGGAATTTCCCACGACTAAGCCATCTCACATCAGTATGTAGTAACAAATCAGAGTGGTTGCAGTCAGCCGTCTCCAGATGTGCACGGAATAACCATCTTTGAAGAGATCTGGCTCAGACAGAACAGGTGATCTTTTTTGCCACATCCATAATCTCTTTCATGTTGAGCATTTTAGCGCATAACGCTTGTTGGTGGTTTATACAACGGTAATTCAAGAAGACTGGGAATACATCATCCTGCCTGCACTTTGCAATAAATCCATTCACACGTCCAACCATTGCAGGTGCTCCATCTGCGGTAATGGACACCAATTTGTACACTGGGAGCTGAGTTTTCTCGCTAAGGTTTTTAAATGTCTGAAAAATGTCCTCTCCTCACGTTTGTTCTTTCATGGGAAGTGCTGTCAATAGCTCCTCTTTTTCACTAAGATCACTAAACACCATACAAATGAAAATGCACATCTGGGCTGTGTCATTCATATCTGTAGATTCGTCAAACTGCAGGGAGAAACACTCACAATCTCCGATGTCCTTCCACATTTGCTGGGTTAAATCCTCAGCCATGGCTTCACATTGCCGGGTAACTGTATTTCTTGACAGTTGCAGAGCTTTGATTGAAGATAATATCTCTGCCTTATTTTTAAAGTCTAGGAACAATGAGTCAGCTGCTTCAGCGAATGCTTCTTTTACCATCTCTCCGACTTGGAAGGACTTATTGTTTTTAACGATGGGGTGACTCCACATGCTTTCCCCAGGTGTCAGAATACACCACCACGTCATCCAAATAGACCGCACAACCAGTCATGTCACCAACCACTCTGTTCATTAGTCTTTGGAACGTGGCTGGCGCATTTCTCAGACCAAATGGCATGACTGTATAAGAATACAAGCCTGTAGGCGTAACAAATGCAGACACTTCACGTGCACGTTTAGTCAGTGGTACCTGCCAGTAACCCTTTAAAAGGTCAAATTTACTAACAAAGTTAGTAGAATCCACTTGATCGATGCAATCATCCATTCTCGGCAGCGGGAAACAATCTGGTTTAGTAACAGCGTTAAGCTTACGAAAATCTGAGCAGAAACGCAGCGTATTGTTCGACTTAGGGACCAAAATACACGGCGATGCCCAACTGGACTTACTCGGTTCTGCAATCCCAGTACAAAGCATATAATCTACTTCTGCATCCAAGTGCTTACGCTTCTCCAGATTCACTCTGTAAAACCGTTGCTTGATTGGTTTAGCGTCTCCCACATCCACATCGTGTTCAATCAAATGTGTGCGACCTGGCGTGTCCGAAAATAGACATGGAAATTCACTTATCAACTCTGCCAACTGCTTAGCACAACCTGCAGGTAAGTGAGCCAACAACGTGTCCAGCTCACCCAAAGTTTCAGAGTTTTTAAGACGCCCATGAATCAGAGCGCTGTCCAACCCATCCGTACTGCCGTCATCTTCGACAGGTAATAGTGCGCTGTCCGTGGTGCTGAAAGTCTCGCTCCCCCCAGCAAGGCTGTTTACGGCACATGCAGGCGTGGCATCAGTACCCTGTGGCTGAAATAAATCATCACGAGCATAATATGGTTTTAATGTGTTGACATGACACAACTGAGTTTTCTTTCTCTGCTCCGGCATCGATATTAAATAGTTCTGATCGGAAACCCGCTTCAGAACTGTATATGGGCCAGTAAATTTCGCCTGAAAAGGAGAAGTCGTGACCGGACACAAAGCCAAGACTTGATTACCAGACAAAATGAGCGCGCCTCAGCACAACGATAAAACAAACTTTTCATTTTTTTCCTGCACCACAGTCAGTTTCTCTTTAACAAGTTCCCGTGCCAGATATAAACGTCTTCTAAAACCATTTACGTAATTCACCAAGTTTTTCGGCGGAGCAGACTCTTTCAGCCCGTCCGCCACCACAGCCAACGGACCCTTCACGTTGTGTGCAAAAACCAATTCATTTGGGCTAAACCCAGTGCTTTCTTGTGTTACGTCCCTGGCGGCCAAGGCAGCCAAGGCAAACCTTCAGCCAAGGCAAACCTTCTGAGTCGTTTGCCTTCTGTACAGTAAGCGCGTAAGAAAGACTTCAGAGACTGGTGGAAGCGCTCTAATGCCCCCTGACTCTCTGGATGATATGCTGTCGCTTTACTGTGTTGCACCCACAGCTGTTTCAAAACCTGACTGAACAAATGTGATGAAAGATTGTTCCTTGGTCAGACTGTATTACTTTAGGGATGCCAAACACCGAAAAGAACTGAGTAAGAACTGCTGGATAACGTGTAGTTTGACACATCACAGTGAGTAGATATGAAGACCCAGCCTTTGAGCGAGGCAACGGACCCCGCAATCTATGATCAAATGTTCAAATGGCTCAGATGCAGCGATAATTGGGCTTAAAGGGAACGGTTTTCAAAACCTGATTGGGCTTAGCAATGAGCTGACAGACATGACACATCTTAATATAAGACAAACGTCCTTTTTAAGACGGGGCCAGAAAAAATGTCGCAAAACTCGATCATACGTCTTACGTACACCAGAATGGCCAGATTCATCATGAGCAACTTTCAACACTGCGGAGCGTAGCTTGATGGGAACCACTATTTGTAATACTGGCTCACCCACAACGTCAGCATGTGGTAACCATTTCCTCACCAACAATGAATCCTGCAGGAAATATCCACAAGCACAATCAGTTATTTCACTTAATGGGCGAACCTGATCGAAAAGAGTCTTCAGTGAAACATCAGCTTGTTGTTCCGTCACGAACTCACTGCGAGACAGAGACATGGAAAACTAGACAAAGGCAAATTAATTTTCACACATTTCTCGTCTCTCACACTCTGACCGCGCCATGGCCCGAGTAACTGCGCATGCGGTAAGCACATCTGCAAATTCCCCGTTCCCCTAAGTCTGAGGAATGAACTTGCTCAACTGGCTCTGACGTAACCAGGCCGTCTAATGGCGCAGCGTCCGCCCACAAACGTTCCTGCTAAAACCGTTACCCAAAATCACAGAGACGCCATCAATTGTCAAAGCAGGGCGCACGGGCAATTGCATGTCACCAACAAACAGTTCGCAATCAAGAAACACAGAAACATCATGTTTTAATCCCATTCCCAGAATTGGAACACAGGCATCTGTCTCAGACTCAGCCGAGAACGGCAACACG